CTTCAAAGGGTCATTGCCAGGTGTCCAGATGTTCAGTAATTAGTAATTTGCCCTACTCTGTAGGTAGGTCAAAACAGGTTATCTCAGATAATCTCTTATCATGGCCCCTAATTCAAATTCTTCTAGGTAGTTAAGGGGGGGAGCAGAAGTTTCTCTTGAGCCCGCAGGTTCTCAATTGCCTTTCACTCAAAATAATCTGTACACCAGAGAGGCATCTCTTGGGGTGACCTGTCTTGAACCCCTACAGTGCCTACTACACCCCAAGCACTTTAGACACTGAAGACACCAAGGTGAGCATAAACAGACACAGACACAGACCCGACCTACAGTCACACAAGCACATGTATAATTACACTTGGGACAAGTGCTTTGAAGAATTGATAGATGGAACTTTCACAGCTACAATTATAAGGATGTGATCTGGTGAAGAGGCCAGCGAGAGCTACTGTGAGAAAGGGACACCTGAGCACAGAGCTGGGGGCTAGGCAGAGAGGAGGGAAATGTGATTCAGGCAGCCATTTGTCCAAAGATCCAGAAGATGTCCATGGTTCTAATCTCTTGTCTTGTATCATTGTTTTATTATCATGCTTATCTTCTTGCCGCTAGAGAATAAAGTTCCTTTAAGACAGGGCCTACTTCTGGCCCATCTTTCTCTTCCTTATGGGAGTTAGGACTGAAGCTTACCCAGAGCAGGGAGATGGTTATCCAAAGGGACTAAGGGGACATGGGCTGTTTCTGCAGAACCCCGCAGCACACCAACCACAGAGTTGCTGGAGTGCTAAGTGGTCATCCTGAGCCCATCTTCACCACCCCCCTTTGTGGTTGCCAAAGAACAGCATTGTTTCCAGCTCCAGGCCCAGATTTATGCCTGCCTTTGATAAAGGTATCTTCTGGCATTGAGCTGGGGTTACAGGTCTCATGCTTTGGGGAGCATGGAGGCAGCCTACCCTTGTGGACTCCCTGTGACCTACTGAGTTTGGAAGGAGGATTAGGGAGGTTGTACCAAGACACTGGGGTTTACTAGGACCTCTAGGTCCTAGTCTCCTACTTCTTTCCCCCTTGCCCACTCTGCTCCTGCCACACCAGCCTTCTTTCCACCCCTTAAATATACTGTGACCATTGTCATCTCCGGCCTTTGCCTCTGCTCCCAGGAATGCTTTTGTCCCAGATCTTCAAATGACTACCTCCTTATCATCATTTTGGTCTCCCTTAAAAGTCACTTTCTGACAGAGCAGCCCTGGCTCAGAACTTCAGTTAAAGGCATTTTCTACTCCTGCCCCCTCCCTCGCTTTCTATCCCATTGCTTTATTAACTCTGTACAACTTACTCTAGTCTAAAACAACCTCTCTCTAGGTCCATTGCCTGCCTATAAGAATGTAAGTTCCATGAGGGGAGGAATTTTGTTGGATTGTTCTCTTCTGTTTCCCAAGTGACTGGAACAAAGGGGATGCTCACTAAAATGAAATGAAATGAATGAATGAATGAATGAATAAGTGTCCTCTCTGAGTGAGTGCCTGCATTCAGGACAGGGACTGGATTGGGATAAATCCACATTGGGTTTAATTTAGATCCCATTGGTGGTAGGAGCACATCTGAATTGAACCCCCAAGCCATTTACTACCCCCCACCCCCATCCCTTTCTATTCACGTTCCTTCAATCACATCATCCCAGCTCTACCACATATTAGCTATTTGCAAGCTACTTCATCTTTCTAGACTTCAGTTTCCTCTTCTGTAAAATGGAGCTGAGTCTCCTACAACCACCAGATGGTGGTGAGGGTTAAATAGAATAGCTTATGTAGAGTACTTAGTGCCTGCGTCTTGCATGTAGCTACAATCCTGGCTTTATCTTCACCACACTTCTCTTTGTCATCCACTTTTCTTGCTTTCCCTTTGCTCTAGGCAACACCCTGTGTGCATCAGGTCTGCCCACCAGGGGGCCCCACACACTGCTCTTCCTGTCCTGGTCACTCCTGCTCTTGAGGGCAGCCAGCCCCTCCATCTCACGACCTCCCTTTTTTCTCTGATGACAGATTTGTCACCTCTCCACCAGTGCTTCCTCTTCATCCCAAATATCTTGGCCTCTGGTCCCCAATTCTTCATTCATTCCACAAATATTTTTTGAGCACCTACTATATGCCAGGCTCTTGATGGAAAACAAGAAGAAAGATCAGGTATCCTCTGTCGTTAAGGAATGCACTGCCTGTACGGACATGGTGGACAGGTCCAGAGGCAGAGGGAGCTCTGGACTTGGGGGTGGAAAGGCGGGAATCAGACTGCCCTTTGGAAACAGGCTTGTAGCTGGAAACTGGGAGGGAATTCCTCTCAGCCCCTCACTCCAAATACCTCAGCCCCTCGCATTATGTGCTCCTACAAATCACCTGAAATTCTGAGAATGTAAGTTCCATGAGGGACCAATCTTTTCAAACAGACTAATCTATTCAAACACCTCAGCTCCTCACACCAAATGCTTCAGCCTTCACCCCAAAATCCCATCCTCTTTGCCCAATCCTTCAGGAGCTCAGTCCCCACCTTAACATCTCAACTTCTCTTCCAAGAAATACTGTAGTTAATGTTACAATAGTTCTTAACACTTTTTTCAGCTCTTAGACGCAGGAGGGATGGGAAAATATTCCTACTAAGGACAATGGCTCAGTTAGGAGTAGTTCTTACTGGAGATGGGGCATATCAACTTTTCTGTGCATGGTTGTGATTTGATGTGTCTTCCAGGGGAGAGAGGGCACCCCTCACCCCGCTCCTAGTTGGGGAATTGCTTGTTTAAATGTTTTCATTTGTCTTTCCCTCTCTTTTCTATCCCCATTTTCACAGCTTCTGACTAGTTTCAAAGGCCTCAGTGCTAATAATTTTCTCAGTCTGTGGAGAGAGGCCATGACCTCATCACCCTTAATCCTCCAAAACTAGTCATAGGCTCTTAAAGTTGGGGGGGACCTCAGAAGCCACTGATCTAGTGGGTTTCAAACTTCTCTCAGGGACATTTGTTTTTTCCACACTCTTCTTCAACAAAATCTTATGTGGAAACCTAATATATATGGTGAGCACCTGCTGAGGCATGACCATGTAACTCGGAGGGTTCTGTGGACTGTGGATTGAAAACTCTTCAAGGGCACAAGACTGAATTCTCTTCAAATTTATTTTACAACGTCCCCTAACAGGCAGGTAACTATTCTGTTTCCAACATCCTCCTTTCATTTAAATACCTCACTTTCAACTGCTCCATTTCCCTCAGGTCTGAAGAATAAGTACCTTTATACTCTAAAATTGCATTCCAAAATTAGGGAGGGGAGCATCTCTCATTCAAGGGGCAGTCCCATGGTGTAATTTTCAGAGCCTTCAAAGAGAAAGATCAGTAGAATGACGGAGGGTCCCACCCAGTGGAGCCCTCTGGTGATTATCAGGGCATCTATTTCCTGTGTAATTCCCTGTTCCCTGAGCTGTAAGCAAAGCCAGAGTGCTGGCGCTGCCCAGGGGTACCGGCTGCAACCGGAACAGCGCAGCTCCCGGACCCCATGAGGTTGCCATAGATACTGATGTGCAGGGAGCTAGTGAACTTGTTATTATTTAAATGTATCTTCCCTCTAATTGCTGTGGGGTATCTGGAGGTTGTGTGGGTGCTACAGCGACGGGGATCAAGGAGGGTGTGTGTTTATGCGCGCACACAAAGGTAACTATAGACCCCAAATTGCCACTGCGGCCCCATCAGAGTCTGAGCTGTTGAGAGTGGTAGTGAGGGAGGGAAGAAGAAGTGAGGTAGTCATAGAAAGGAAAAAGGAGAGAATGATTTGAGTTTCCTCCTAATTGTGTAAATTCTAATTTTCCACTTTGTTTGGATGTTTCACAAAGAGGCAATGCCAAGCACATAGTAGGCAGCTGATAAATATTTGTTGAAAGGAGGCTAGCTCCACTTACACAGACCTGTGAGTCATCCCTGAGGCTTTACCCCAACATTTTTCTCGTCACTCTTCCTTTTACCCAGAAACTCAATGCAAAGTGCTTTATACGGTTACCCTAAAATACTTAGCATAGAGCCCTCACTGCCACTGGGAAGCTGTCCCCTATCACAGACGCACATAAGAAAGGTCATGGATGTAGTCCTGTTTTTATGTTTTCCCCGGGGATACCCTAGGGGACTCCATGGCAGCCCAAATCCGTGCTTGTGCTTGTTCTGACCTCTCTCCATCTTCTCACTCCACCTTATGATAATGAGTATATAGTTTCAGCATCTGAAGGTCAGGGACCAAGTTGCCTTGAGGGCTTGGGAATGGCACATTGATGATTAACTAGTATGTAGCCCCCATTTCTGAAGTGCAGGTTAGCTGTCACTCTGCCTTTAAGGTGGATGACAGAAACTCAAGACTTACTTGTCATCACCGTGTACACAACTTCGTTGTCCTGCCCCATGCAGGGATTTGGAACCAGGCTCTTATGCAGGTGCTTCGAGATAGGAAGTGGCCTTACTCCCCTGCACCTTACTTCCTGTTGCCCTGGGGAGGGGTGGGGCATAGTGTTCTGTCTCCTCAGCCCTTTCCTTCTTGGCCCTCTCTGCCCTCCTCCCAGGCAATCTTTTCCTCCCTTAGTCTCCTAATCGCCCCTACTGGGCAATCTGGTTCTCAGATCAGCTCCCAGGGCTGTTAGGTAAGGAAAGGAGAGGAGCCCTCCCAGGAAGCTTTGCTCCATCCACCCCCTCAGAGATGCGGCCTGGGAGGCTGGGAAGCCTCTTAGCTTCTCAGCTGCCTTCTCCAGGCGAGCCTGCCTACACAAAGGAGGCCTGACTCCCAGTGGGCAACCTGCTGTAATCAAGATTGAGCTGCACCAGTTGGCTGAGCTCTGCCCTGCCCAGTTGGGGCTGGTCTCTGATTTGGGGTACAGAGGCAGGGGCAGGTCAGGAACCTGCCCAGACTGTTTCTCCTCCACCAAAAAAGTTATGTGCCTGGGTCCTACCATCTTCTGATACTGGGGACAGAGGAAGGGATGGTAATTACCTCTGTCAGGGTCCCAAGGAGTCCATTCCACAAATATTTACTGAGGGTCTAGAGCTGAGTATACATACAGTGGTGAACAAAGGAGGCAGAGACCCTGTCCTGCTGGAGCCTATAATTTAAAGTAAGGACAAAAATTAAACAAATAGTAACAGCTGACACTGTTCTAATTAGGTGCCAGGTACTATTCTAAGTGCTTTATGTGACATAGCCCGTTTAATACTTACAATCCTGTGAGGTAGATATTGTTATTCTTCCCAGTTTTCATAATGTAACTGAAGCACAGAAAGATTAAGCGACTTGCCCAAGGTCACACAGCTGGTCAGTGAGCTACCCAGAAATCCAAGCCAGGCAGTCTGACCCGAGTTCACTTTTTATAGACAACCACGCTCTAGTTCTCTACCGCTTCTCATACCAGTAAACATACCACTCATTACAAAATGTGATGAGTGTCATAAAATAAAAATGCAAGGCGTCCTGCAAGAGATCGGGGATATTTTCTCCTTCCTTCTACTTTGCTCTTCTAGCCCACATCGCACATGACCTTTCTTAATCGTTCCTACCTCATCCCTTTCATTGCTGGCCTAGGAGAGAACATTCTCTCATCTCTAAGGTTAGAGTGCAGAAAGCCAGAGTTCCACCTGCATCCTTGGCCCTGGCCGGGTCTCCCTGAACAAGCTGTGCCTGAAGGGTTTTATCTAATAATGGCCCTGATGCTTACACGTCTGGACTGTCAGCTTCCCGAGGAAAGGCTGCTGGGAACTGGCTCGGCACTGACTGGGGGGTTCCTCCCGAGTATGCAGTCTGACATGGGCTTTTTGACCTCGGCCACACTTTGTGAACTGGGCTTGGGGCTTAAGACCCATGTGTGAAGCCTCGCTAGAAAACTCTGTGGTCCAGATCCCTACACACTGTCATCACACACACACACACACACACACACACACAC